GACGATGCATTACAGAAACTGAAGAAGAACAAAGCTACAGGACCAGACCTCGTCCCCAATGAAGTATGGCTACTATTAGATGATGAAAATTTGCAAAACATTCTTGATATGTACAACTACGCCTGGGATTCAGGGACCATACCTCAAAGCTGGGCGGAAGCCATCGTAGTCTCCATCTACAAAGGCAAAGGCGCAGACACGGACCCGGTCAATTATCGTCCTATTTCGCTCCTTAACACCATCTATAAAATCTACGCGGCGATGCTACAGCAGCGACTCAGTGATCAAATAGAGCCTAGACTGCGCGATACGCAGTTCGGGTTCAGGCCGAAAAAGGGAACAAAACACCCACTCTTTATCCTACGTAGAGCTATGGAATGGTCCCTTATGACGTCCACACCGCTCCACATACTGTCTTTAGATTGGCGACAGGCGTTTGACTCATTGGACCACACCGCTATGCTAAGCGCTTTGAAGCGTTTCGGACTCTCCGCAAGAATGATTAAGGCAATCCAGTCTATCTATAAGGAGCCAACCTTTACAACGAAGGGTCCTCAAGACCACACCGCAGAGGGTAAGATCAAGGCAGGTATTAGGCAAGGTTGCCCCCTCAGTCCATACCTCTTTGTGATTGTCTTAACGGTTATATTTTCAGATATAGACCAAGAATTGTTACACACAGGGGCACCCCAACAAATACCTGGTCTTCGCTTCGACCGGTTTATGACCTAGAGTGCGCAGATGACACTCTATTGCTGGCTAGGACAATACCTCAATTGCAGTCCTTCCTCTCAACGGTAGAATACATAGCTCAAGAATATGGAATGAGACTTAACACCACCAAAACGGAGTTGCTCCTTCATGACCCAGAGGCCCAGCCCAACCTACAGTTTGTTGATGGCAGCAAGGTACCGACCACACCGCAGCTAAAATACCTAGGGTCCCTTATATCCTGGAAACACCCCTTCTCTACGGCTTTTTACCACAGAGCTAACCAAGCAGAAGAAGCGTATAAAAAGCTCCGATTAGTTTGGAACTCGGGCATGCCGATTAAAACTAAGCTCCGTATCTTCCGTAGCACATTCGGTTCAGTCTTAATGTACGGA